TTCCTGGGCAAATATCCACTGAATTGAATTTTCTTAGCTGCAATGAAAAAGCACCAGCAACACAAATAGTGGTAGGCCTAGGGAAGGAGTTCAATTTTAAGTAAATGGAAATGCACTGGAGGGACTTAGGATAGAAAGTGTGGTGGTTAAATCGTAAATCACTCTGGCAGCTATGTAGAAGATAGTAATAGCAGAAAATATTTATTGTGTGCTTTCTAAGTGCCAAGTACTATTTTAAAGTGATTTACATGTGGTAACTCATTTAATTCTCAGAATAAACATTTGAGGTAGATATTATCATTACTCTTGTTTTATATATATGGAAACGGAGACACAAAGAGATTAGGCAATTGCCCATCAGAGGGCAAGACAGGGCATCAAACAAGATATGAGAGGGTAAGAAGTAGGATCGTGATTCGAACCTAGGCAGTCTGGGGTTCCAAGTTTCAGGGTCTTATAGGAACATTTATGTATAGGGGGTGTAAGGCTGGACCTTGAAGACCAGTTCTCATGCTATTGGAATATTCAGATAAGATGTGATGGTGGCCTGAACCAAGGGAGGGTGCCATGGGACAGAGAGGATGAGTAGTGATCACTCTTTTCTACCCTTAATTAACACAGTAGTTGTAGTTTTGAGGGGATTCACCTGGGACGACCAACATGTTAGAAGTATAAGAGGCAGGATAACGGAAGGGAATGGGCAGTTTAGTCTCTGATACCAAATAATCTCAATTTTCTTAGAGGATTCTGAGGCACATTTTGTCCTGGCAGGGCCTGGGAATATTTGGTGTCTGAGCAGAGTGGGGATTCGAAACAGCTGTGACAGTTAATGCTAAGGGTACTGGCAAGCAAGTTGAAATATTGAACAACCAGTGAAACTTACATAGCAGAGGGCCAAGGGCACATGGTTTTGTCATTTTCTTGCTCAACAGTCTGGAAGTTAGAGAATGGAAATGTTCAGGAAGGAGGCACAAAGTCATTCCCCATGCCCACTGCTACCTCCTGTATACCAGCCAGTGCTAGGCAGTGCTAGGAAATAAGGAAGGATCAAGGGTAAGCCTTTCCTTGGGACAGTTCACAGTCTGGTGGAGGAGACAATAGATAAGCAAAGAGATAGAGCACGATGGATAAGTGCTGCCATTGGAAGGACCCATACGGATCATCTAGACCTCATTCTGTCTTATGAATAAGGAAATTAAATCCAAAAAAGAAAAAGCAGCTTGCCCTAAGCCCCATCTATCCAGATTGGGAATTCCAAGGTCTTTTCTCCTTTCCTCCTTCTCTCTTGGGTGCCAAACCAGTTGTGTTGGTCTGTCTCCCCAGTTCCTTTGGATGACACAGTCAGTGAATCATGAAAACCTTTGAATGTGTCTAGTTGTGTTGTTCCTCCAGAAGAGAAAAAGAAGCAAGCAGAGAACTATGAGAGAAGCCACGAGCATTAAGTATTATGGAATATAAACAGAGAATGTCGAGACACTTGAAATGAAAGATGAATGTAAAGTGCACCTCAGAAAACAAGGATCAAATTTAAAATGTATTGGAATTAGCATCATGGAAGTCATTTGTAACTATAGGTTGAATTGTTGAAATGATAGATCTAGAAGCCAAAATAAAGTGGATTGAGAAGTGAACATGATGGCAATTAATTGAGACTGTGGAGGAAGTATTAACTCTGAAAAGTCTGGCAATGAAAAAGAAGAATTAGGATATTACCTGGATGGGGATTGGAGTGTGGAAGAAAAGGTCTCTCTCTCCCCTTCCCTTCCTTCCGCCTTCCATTTCTCAAAGAGAGAGAGGCTGAGATCTGTAGTGCAGTCACTGGCTTTGAAGAAGAAGGACGAAAGATGGGGCAGATGTAGAGTTTCACATTCTGTGGTGTTTTATACCATAATAGAGTATAGCACAAAATGTAAATCCTCTTAAAAATCTCCAGATCATAGAGAGTTTTGAATTATATTAACTCAATTGTACAACTTCAAGATTCAGTCTTTCTTCTTTTCTTAATATAAATGTAGTAACTCGAAATAGTTGAATTTAAGAGTACATTGAAGTCATCTGACCAAAATATACTTTGTCAATCGACCATGTGTAATCTTACAGTTTTGGAGATCAGAAATCTGAAATGGGTTTCACTGGGCCACAACCAAGGTGTTGCAGAAGCTCTATGGAAGAACTTGTTTTTTCATATTTTCCAAGTTCTAGAACTTTGTTCCTAAGGCCTTTTAGTTAGAGGATTAGACCCTCCCAGATTATCAAGGAAATTTCCTTTTCTTAAATTTAATTGATTTTAAATGTTAACCATATTTACAAAATCTTTACAGCAACACCTAGATTTGTATTTAATTGAATAACTGATTACTATGGCCTATCCAAGTGGACACATAAAACTAGACATCACAGTCCACTGTTTGTCAACTTGGCTTTCATACACATCCCCTTAAATCATACTTAATATACAAATAAAGACTACAATGAAGTTATA